CTATGTAAAGTAACTTGATTATAATTAATCTTAAGCAAAAATAATCACCTTAATTTAAAGTCTTAAGTACTTATTTTTACCCCATGTGTAACAATTGTACATACTTAAAGGAGGGCATTAAAAAACCTGGATTGTAAATTTAGAATGGAACCAAAGGATAATTTTGTATAGCAAACTACTAACAATACATTATTCATTTAAACTTCAAAAACAAAATCACTTGTACCTCCAAGACTTACCCATCTGTATACATATATAAGTAGCAAACAAATGTCTACTTTAGCTTTAGGGCAGTTCCAAAACACAAGAAAGCTTTACTAATTTGGAATTTATAAGACTGTACACTGATAACTAGTGTCTCTACATTTTTATGTTTAGTATACTATTTATTGATTTACAAATAAACAATTTATTAAAAGAATGGTTTCAAGAATGTAATTATTGGATTTTGCATGCAATTTTTTCATAATAGCCTGTATGGGTAATCAGAGGCACAGATCTCAATGTTCTTTTTGGAGTCACCGTGCCATCCTACTTTGAAAGTATACTGCAGTTTGGAGTTTCTGAGATAGATCAAACATTGCAGGTTAGTAGGGGTAGAAATTGCTGTTTTCTTTAGTGCTGCACACTTGGGTCAGCATATGGCAGTCTGGCTTAAGTGGTTTCTAATAAATAATAGTGAATGATCTAACAATTATAGTTGCCTTTTTACTTATCTGGTCATGTATGACTATGTAAACATGTTCTCTGCTGGGATTGAACCCAGGACCTTGTGCATGTGAGTCAAGTGCTCTCACTGACTACCATAGGCATGTGCCTGGCTTTCTGTGGTTATTTTCGGAACTAAAGTCCACACTGCCAGGAACTTTTTAATGGTGATGTGTTGGTGTAGGTGTTTAGTACAAATTTATTAAATGCCTTGGGACCTGAATCTTGAAGCTGGCAAGAGTGTGTGGGCCCTCCACCCAGAGGGGTAACTCTTGGCAATATTTAGCTTAGGTTTTTGCAATTTCTAATAAGTGTTTAAAGTGTTTTAATTAGTGTGTGGGTCTACCAAGTTAATCATGGCATTGTATTGTGAAAAGTTTATAGTTAAAGCTTATGGTTGGATGCTAATTTGGTTTTTAGTGTTTACAAAAAATGTCCTCAGTTTAAAAAATACCAGTCCATGCAGCCTGGGGCTGTGTTTAGTGGTAGAGCACTTGCCTAATGTGTGAGGTGTGAGGTTCCGAGTTTGATTCTCAGCACTGGGGGGAATAAATTAAAAGTTTGTGTCCATATTTTCTATCATTTTGCTTGCTTTCAATTATTTAATATGGATTGTGTGTGTGTGGTGGTGGGGATGAATATCAGGGCCTCCGAATTACACCTGCAGCCCTTATGATAGGGAATTTTTGCTTTTATAAATAAGGCATAAATATCTTTATAAATATCTTTATAAATAAAGATAAATAGTTGAAAGCACTTGCTAGAGAAGGTGTATGAAAGCATGTTAATAAATTGTAAAGTAGACTAATGGAAAGCAACAAATAAGCAAAAACTGAAGCAATAAGCAGATGAGGGTTTAATATTTTATTACAGGTAATACATTTGAAATGATGTATTTTAATATTGTTAGGAATAGTATTTTGGGCAAATGAGAGCAATTTTTTAGGGAAGAGGTGATACTGAAACATACTTAAATTCTATGCTTTTTAAAAAAACTATTTAAAGATTAACTTTTTAAAAAATTGGTATTTTAGAAAAACAAGATTTTCCTCTTGTTTCAATCCCTCATTGCTATGGCTTTCAGAGTACTACTTAAATATCCTAAAAACTTAATGTCAACTTATCAAAATGATGTCTTTCACCTTCCTAGCTTCAAAACTTCCCTCTTTTTAATTTTTAAAATTACCATCATATTGGATGAATTTTATTTATTACTTAAATTTTAATACTTGGGTGTGGGTTTATTTTTGGTATACATCTTCTCAGGCTGCCACCCATTGTTAATTGTGGGCCTTCCTTCAAGGTCATAGTAACATCTCCCTAAATTGTCTTCAATGCCTGTGTGTGTGTGTGTGTGTGTGTGTGTGTGTGTGTGTGTGTGTACGTGCGCTTATGTGCGCCTGAGCTGAAAATTAATTTAGGGGCCATATATGCTAAGCAGTCACTCTACCACTGGTATGCTCCCAGGCTACTTCAATGCCTTTTATCTTTCCCATTTTTAAAAGTAGATAATTTTACAGATACTTCAGTATCCCATCCTTGATATAATTACTGAGAAAGACTGCTTGTTGGGTAATATATGTGATGTTCTGCTTGATTATTTTAGACTTTTAGAACTCTGAAATTGGTGCTCTCTCTTCAATACTTTTTCCTCCAACGCTACTCCTAAGCTTCTTTTAATGGTAAAGCTGAATTCAAAATCACAGATGTTGTGCTTGCTTAGCAACCTAAGCAAGTATGATACACATATAGACCTAGAATAGGTTCTGGCAGGTAATAGGCATTTATGATAAATAAAAACTCTAGTTCCCAAAACCCAGTTGAGGTAGCTTTGAATTAACCATTTTTTTATACATTCTCTCAACTCAGCTTTGTTCACAATATGTTCCTTTGTATTTTCTCTCCATAACAGATTGTGACATCATTTTGTGACCTTCCCCTAACTGCTAGATAAAAATGCACTGTACATCATAAGCATTCAGTAGAGAATTTTGATTTGCATTGAAAACATACCTCAGTTTTCTGACTTTGAAGAGGAAGATTTTTTCATGTCTAGTCAAAAAAAAAAAAAAAAGGCTTTGTAACATAATTGAATTCTAAGGAAACTGATCTTTAAGAGTTCATAAGGTGTCAGAATTCTAACCAAAAAAGCTTTTTTAAAAAAAATCTATATATAGAAAAATACAATATTTTTGCCATTTCTTTTTCTTTCTTTTTATACCTTTATATATCTTTATTTCACTTTTTTATATGGTGTTGAGAATCGAACCCAGGGTCTCACCTATGTGAGGTGAATGCTCTACCTACCGCTGAGCCACAATCCCAGCCCTTTTTTAAAAAATACTGCATAGGAGAAGAGCAGATCTCCAGAGTTGAGGACTTCATGGCAAGGCAGAAGCATCATATTGAGAAGACTGAATTCAGGTAGTCACTAATCATAGAATCCTTAAAGTGCTGAGAGAATAGATCAAGAAGGGAAATTGCTAGCTTAGAATTAAAGTAATAGGGCTGGGGTTGTGGCTCAGCGGTAGAGCACTTGCCTAGCACGTGCGAGGCCCTGGATTCGATCCTCAGGACCATATAAAAATAAAATAAAGGGGTTGTGTCCAACTAAAATATAAATATTAAAAAAAGAAAAATCAAAGTAATGTGTGAGTTGTCAGTTTTTAAAAAATTGCATAAAAATACTACTCTTCAATGTCGAAGGACAATTAGGAAAAATATAAATTTCAACCAAAGTGTTATTTTAGTATACTCTGGGAATAATATGTGAGAAGGCTAACAGTCATTTATATAAACTGATGGGTATAAAACTTGAGGTTCTATGTAAATCAGTTGCTTTTTTTTTTTTTTTTAAAGAGCATGAGAGACGAGAGAGAATTTTTAATATTTATTTATTTTTTTTTAGTTCTCGGCGGATACAACATCTTTGTTGGTATGTGGTGCTGAGGCTCGAACCCAGGCCGCACGCATGCCAGGCGAGTGCGCTACCGCTTGAGCCACATATCCAGCCCCAGTTTCTTTTCTTACAGAAGCAGTAGGTATGGAAAACCTTGGGACTGACGGTGAATGTAGCTCCGAGTGCTTGCCCTAGCATGCATGACACCCAGGGTTCAAACCTAGCACCACAAAAAAGAAAAAGTAATGATGGGAAAATTAAATCAATTCTACCATCCCAAAATGAATGAGGTACTTAGACTTTTAACTTTTTCCTTCGTGTTTAATATTTTAAAATTGTATTTCATTTTAAACTCTGCTTTTGGGGGAGAGGGTTTTGTAATATAAATAGCTGCAAACTTTTTTCACAAATAGGACTTTTTGTCACTACTAAAATATGGATATTAAACATTCCTGGGCTGGTGGTTCATATTCATCAGTTTAAATATTCAAATCTAGCAAAAATCTTTCAGGGAACTTCTGCCTAAGGGTTTCCTAATACACCATAATGGATTCTCTTTTGAAAATGGAAAAAATTATTCCCAGTTTATTTTCTAAATTAAGATGCCACTTTTTAGAAGTTGGTAACTAATTTAGCCGTTTTTACTCAGTCATATCTCTCATAAACTATTTGTTTAGCATGTTTTGTAGGGCAGATGTGCACTTGAACCCAACCTCTGTCATATGATTAAAGTCCATATTAATAGGCTTTGTATTGAGGTTAAGCTGTTTTCCAATTCCTATTGGAGGCCATTTTTTTTTTGTTTACAATTATGCTCTGTGTTTCAAAAGCACTTGAAAATCAAATCTGTTATTCAGAACAAAAGTCTTGTATCAGCCTTTCCTAAAATGTTTGGAAATCTAGAAAAGGTTGTTCAAGGAGTTAGTAGTAGGATACATCATTTAAGAAATGGTTTCATGCTTATGTATATTTGGGAAGTCCCATTTCTTTATCTGCATGATTTCTCAGATTCTTTACTACATTAATGTATTAGAATTCTGATTTTTTTTCTTTTGTACTGGCGTTTGAACCCAGGGCCCTGTAAGTGCTTCTAACCTGAGCTACTTCCCAGCCCCCCAATTTTTGACCAGAAGGTGCACTTTTCACCCATCATTTTATTGGTGGAATACATTGCCTTATTCTAATAAGCTAATTTGGAATATAATATAAACAACATACGAATTTTTTCCAGAACGACCATGTGGACTTTTGAAGTTGTTACAAATTCTTGCCACATAAAAGTGCATTAAATTTGATTTTCCAAAGGGTTTATTTGGTGGTAATCAGTTTTCTCTAGTATGTGGACTTTGTTACACTTGCAATTTGTTAATAAGATAGTGGAAAAAAACAACAATCACTGAGTGAATATCCTTTATTGAGAATCAAATATTCTAAATTTACTAAACTTAGAGGTAGTCATGGCCCCTCCCCAGTAAACTTTACAGTCTTAGACAATTTGTGCATTTTAATACATTCTTTTCTTTAATATTTATTTTTTAGTTTTTCGGCGGACACAACATCTTTGTTTGTATGTGGTGCTGAGGATCCAACCTGGGCCGCACACATGCCAGGTGAGTGTGCTACCGCTTGAGCCACATCCCCAGCCCTTAATAAATTCTTAATTATAGTATAAAAGAAAGTCACTGAGGAAGCTTTATATAAAACAGCTATGAAACGTATATAGAAGACTGTAGTTTCATAAGCTATAATATGATAAAAGTTTGAACAATACATATGGTATCTGCTTATTAGTGATAAATGTAAAGTCTACAGCAAACCTAGGCTTCTATTTTAGGTATTAGGAACTCTTGGTGCTCTTTACCTAATCTGGCCATCATAATTTTCTTCCCCTCCCCACACCTAAAGTCACAAGGAAGATACAAATGTGATTTGTCATAAACATCAACTGTATTGTTACTATGCAGAATAACTGTATTTGGGGTAAAAATGGGAGTTCATAACCCACTTGATTCTAATGTATGAAATATGATATGTCAAGAGCTTTGTAATGTTGTGAACAACCAAAAAAAAAAAAAAAAAAAGAACCAAACTTGAGCAACTTACCCTGTTGTAATGAGAATACACTGGATTCCCTAGGAAAATATATTTTCAATTCATAAGATATTTATACTTTCTAAACATAAAGCTAATTTACATCATTTTAGAAACATTACAAATACAAATTTGCTTTTGGAACAAAACACAATGTATTTCTTAGAAATACTTTCAGAAATGGTGAGAAGAGGCTTTTAACATTTCTGATACACTCAGCAGCTTGTCTGCATATAATAAATTAAGCACCAAAATCAACACTGACATTTGTCTGCAAGACTTAACATTTCTCTAAAATACTCCCTACCATCTAGGTTTATATTAATGTTGATCACCATTTGAGTAGGCTCATGAGAAAGCTAAACACTTCATGAAAGCTTCCTTAATATTACTAGATGATCATTATTGGTAACCAATATTTTGGTTTTCAGGTCAAAGATTTGGCCTTTAATAAGGTGTATTATGCTGCCTTCAAAATATTTGTCAACCTATATATTAATTATCCATCCTTCACCTGGACAAGCATCAAAAATGTCACCACAGTATGATTTCTCCTACCAGTTTGCAGTCTAGCAGGGGTCTAGTTTTTTAACTAAATGTGTGGTGGATTAGGGCTCCTATAACTCCTGCATTTTTCTCCTATCTTCAGAACCTTTATCACAGGAGGATTTTTACCGTAGAAGGATTACAGTTGAACTTGGGCCTGAGGAGCAAGCATATCTATGCATCTGTGAGTATGGGCAAAGTGGGAAAGGCGTTAGGGAGGTTTGGGGAGCTGGTCTGATCACAGAATGGCAGGTTGTGTTTTGTCTTTTTGTGGGGGAAGGTGTGCTGGAGATTGAACCCAGGGGTTTCAGTGTGCATGCTAAGCACACTGAGCCACACCCTGTTTATCTTTTAATGATTTAAAATTTGAATTTGGTAGAAATCTTTGATTTAAACATTTCAGAAGAAATTTATATTAAGGGTCATGAACTAATTCAGATTTCAGTTTATGCTCCTTTAAAAACTATCTAGAAAACCTTTAAGGTTTGATGATAAATCAAGTTTGGTCTTATATGCTTTTATATGTAACATACCAAAAACAGTTTTGGTACTATTAATCCATACCTATATAATAAATTACTGCTTATTTAAATAAAAAATGATTAAAATATTCAGGTTATTACCTAAGTGGTTAAAAGTTCACAAGTACTACTGATATCAGCCTGTGCAGTTTTGTGCATGTGGAATAAGCTTGGCACCTAAATGACCATGTAGCACCTCAATTCTTTGTCGTTCTCAGGCTTTCATCATGTACCAAGTGCAGTGTGGTTTTATTTTCAGATCCTGCAAAATTTTTAATTTAAAACAAGGGAACTCATTTTTCATGAGCAATACACAACTCTTAAGAATTCTGCCCACCAGAGTTGTGATTGCATTTTGGTGGATCCTTTTCCTTCCCCTTATTTTTTATGTAAAGGACAGTAGCTTCAAATTGTTTGCTAATGGCAAAAAATTTTGTCTTCTGGTAAGAAAATATAGATTGTGGTATCATTAATAAGTAAAATACTCTTCCTACAAATCTTACAATAAATACAAGTAAAAGTCCTGTATTTGGAATTTTTCTTGAAATACACATATGAAAACATTTTTGTCATTGTTACCAGTGAGCTGGAGATTGCCATAAGATGTAGTTTCATAAAAGGATGAAAAGCCTTATAGTTTCTGGAAGGGTCTGGGAATAGCAGGTTACTGGAACCCTCTGTTCATTTATTATTCTATCTTGTGCTGAGCTCTGAGGATATAAAAATGAATTTTTTAAACAAGTAGAAAACATACTCTACTTGAGGGGCATACATGAGTAGAAGATCATATTACAGTGGTGTAAATCCAATAATAGAGATAACTAGTTTATTCTGGGGCACAAAGAGGAAGGGTCTCTATCCCCAGATTGTCTGGGAAGGGGTAGAATGGAATTTTGTGAGATCCTGGTCACTAACAGGTTCCTGGTGAAGTTGATAATTGGAGTTTTAATGGAGGAGTGGGAAATAAGATGTATTGAGTCAGAATGATATTCCAGATACAGGGAACACAAACAATACAGTATGTGACATGTTTAGGGAATAGAAACAGCTGATTGTTGAAGTATCCCCCTTCTCTAGTGCTATGCATAGGATAGATCCTAGAATGGGAAAGTGTTGCAGGAGTGCAAATGAGCTGAGAGGGCTTACACGTCAATACTAACTGCCACGGAGAGGAGAGGGTGGAATCAGTGTTGATAGTTTACAATTTTAGTGACAGAATGTAGGAGATGAGGAAGAAAGAGGAAGTATGAAGGATGACTCTCAGATTCTTGGCATGGCAATACCAGTAAATGAGACACAGAAGGTAGTAGGAAGAAAAGCACTAGGGGGAAAATTATGCTCAATTTTCAACATGACGAATGTGAGGCATCTCTAGGTCACATCCAGGTGAATAAGTCTAGTGGGCAGTTAGTTGGATGTGCATCTGAAGCTCAGGAGTTACACATTTGGGGGTAGTCATCATCACAGGATTGTGGCATCTTGGTACAGAAAGACAGGGACACCAACTCTGGAAGGAGAGACACTTCCTTAATTGACATGTTTCTTTGGGACTCTGTAGACACAATCTTTTATCCCACCAGGGCTATATTTCTTGGACCACTCAGACATGTTTACCTGTTTTCTCTCATATCTTCTTAGAACATCAGCAAGACTATTGTCTTATTTCTTCCGTAATTATTACTGTCTCCACAAACAGTACTCATGGCAAGGTCTGTTATGTAGTAAGTGATCAATAAATGTTCATCTTTGTTATTTATAGTCAGCTGGCTCTTGCAATAGATGACTAGCTCTTTCCCCCACCACCCACCCACCCCTTGCAGGAACTTCTGTTTTACTTCTCAAGTTTAAATTACATATTTCTAAAATGACTTCAAGATTAATTTGTAAATGGGCAGTACTTGATAGGCAGGTATCTTCCATCTGTCATTCAAGACTGAATCATTCCTTTCATTATCACCACATGTTACTTATTGCAGGATTTGTAAATATCCATTTCTCTTCTTAGGGAAGACTGGAGCTTATCCAGTGGAGATCCCATGAGGGAGTTAGAGTTGCAGTCACCTGGAGTGAGTAATCCCTGATTCCAGGTGGTGATGGGGGTTGAGTTTCACATTTTACTTTATTTGAAAAATATGTGCAAAAGAGTCACCAAAAACAAGAACAAACTAGGCTTTGTTGCAGCTGAGAGGCTCTGCAATGTTTTGTATAGAGGAATCATTGGGCATGAAAGATTTGATACTAGGATAGAATCCACTTGCCCTTGGAATGAAAGTAGAAAATCCTTTTTAAGAGCACTGAAGTTCTGGGATTTCTCTGGAATAACCACCTTTGTGAGATGTGGATCATGTCCAGGGACTGTAACCTGAGAGGAAACAAGAAATAATTGTATGAGTGATTTCAGATGTTTTGTGGTGCCAATACTGAGAAAAACACTGATAGCCACCCCTAAAATGCAGCCTTTGTGCAATGCAGGTAACAATCCACTGAACTTCCAGGCCAGTAATTGATGAATTATCCAATGCCTATTGACACAGGTCATAGTTAATGCTGCTGCCAAGAGTTACAAAATGAAATAAAAGCAGAGACAGGTACTTTATCTGGTGATGTAAGTCAGGAGAAAGAACAAAGCTGTAGACCGATTCTCATTTTCATGGTGTGGAAAGAGAGTTGATTGTTTCACTTTGTCCTGAGTCTATACTTATGTCCTTACAGGATATTAATATTATTAAAATTAATCTCTCAATTCGTTCCTTTTTTTTTTTTTTTTTGCAGCTGATCTACGTGAACAAGTATACTGCTTTCTCAAAAAGGTTTGATTTTACTTGACTTTGTTCACAAGTCTGAATCTTTAGCTAGATTTGCTTTTTTGATGAAAGAAATGACTAGGAAAGGTCAGGTGCTGTGGCTCATGCCTGTAAGCCAAGCAGCTCAAGGAGGCTGAGGCAGGAGGATCATGAGTTCAAAGTCAGCCTCAGCAACTTATCGAGGCCTAAGCAACTCAGTATAAAAAAGGGCTGGGGATGTGACTCAGTGGTTAAGAACCCCTGGTACCAAACAAACCAAAACAAAAACAAAAACCCAGGAAAAATGCCAAACTAACATGACAAATGCTAAACTAACTATGGGCTATATCTACCGAGAAATACTTTAATTGTATATGATGGAGAAGGCAAAGAATGGTGAACATAGTCATTTGTAGAACCACTAATTGGGATGTATTTTACTATTTATTTCAACTTCCAAAGTCTTGTCTTCCAATCTTGTCTTAGAACTAATAATACCTATAGCTAACATGTACTCTATTTGCCTAATGGAAAACGAGCAATTCATAACTATTCTATAAAGGTATGGCTTATTAATGAGACTGCATAAAAATAAAATTCACTATAAGAGAAACTCTTTCATAGGATGGAAAATAGTAAATAGAAGGAAAATAAAGGGCCTTTTAAGACAAAGATTCACAGTTAGTGGAAGTTTTTCTCAGGCTCTTTTCATTTTCTCAGTGGCAGCAGGGATTCACAGGAAGAGGATTAGCTCCACAGAGCCCCTCTGTTGGGCACTATGGGGATAACATGGAGCAGAAAGGCTTTCAATTCTACAGTTTCACAAACTAAAAACCATGTCTCTCATTATGTCCTAAAGATGAAATAATGAAATACAAAGCCACTTTCTACTACAGAAGAGATGACTACCTTCTTCTAGGAATAGCTCTTTACAAAATGGGACTGCTACGATTGGCCTTGGTCCCACTAAGCAAAGCAGAATCCTGAAGTTGTTTTTGGAGAAAATCAAAGACGTAAAAGTACCATCGAGCCAACAAAATCCGGTACTTATTTAGTTCACTCATATAAGCCTACCCAGACTCAAATGAGATCATGCTTTCTTGTCCTAGGAAGAAATGACTCAGAAACATACATTGTAATGGAATTAAAAATCGAGATTTTACTTCAATTGATTGGAAAAAGGGCTGCAAACTATGCCTATCACTTGCTTAATATACTGTCAAAATTTGTGGATCAAATTTTACTTGTTCTAAGAAAACTGTCATAATCTATTTGCCCCCTACCCCATAGTGCTGGGGATTGAACCTAGGGCCGTGCTTACTATGCAAGCACTTGATTACTGACTTATACCTCCCCTCTCAATTATTTTTGTAATGATAGAAATTGTATCTGATGGAATAGGTGTTAAATGGTATTCCATGAAGTTCAGAAGTACTTTTGCTACATTATTTGTTTTTATAAATTTAGATATAATATTTGTATATCTTTATGGGGTATATTAAGGTAATTTGATACATGTATATGGAATAATAATCAAATCAGAGTAGTATGCATTTTCATCTTTTTAAACATCGATCACTTTTATGTGTAGGGGATTTTGTACTCTTCTAGACGTTTTGAAATATATCATAGATTGTTTCAACCTATAGTAACCCTACTGTGCTAAAGAAGAACCAGAATTGATTCCTCCATTGTTTTGGTGCCTCTTAACTGAACTTCTGTTTCCCATTCAACTCCTGACTTCTCAGTCTTCAGTGATCACTATTCTTTTCCTTTCTACAAGGCTGACTTGTCAGTTTCTGCGAAAGAGTGAGAACATGTGGCGTTAGAGTTTGTGTCTGACTTATTTCATTGGATATAATGACCTCCAGTTCTCTCTGAATTGCTGCAGATGAAAAGATTTTATTATGGTCAAATAATATTCCACTGTGTATATATATATATTTTCTTTATCCATTTCATCCACTGAAGGGCATTTGGGCTGATCCCACATTTTAGCTGTTGTGAATAGTACTGCAATAAACATGGAAATGCAAGTATCTTTTTGGTATAATGATTTCACCTCCTTTAGATCTATAGTGTTTTCCATAATGACTGTTCATTTATATTCCTGTCAGTAGGTGTAGGAGTTCCTTTTTTCCCACATCCTTTCCAGCATTTGTCAGTTTTGAGTGATAGCCCTTTCAACTGGGGTGAGATAACATTTTGTGGTTTTGAATTGCATTTTCCTGATGATTAGTGAGATTGAGTATTTTTCCCTATGCTTGTTGGCCATTTGTAGATCATCTTAGAAGTCTGCTTAGTTCTTTAGCCCATTTTAAAAACTAGGCTATTGTTTGAATATTCAGCTTTGAATATTCTGAATATCAATATCTTGTCAGATGAAGAGTCTGCAAATACTTTCTCCCGTTCTGTAGGCTGTTTCTTAATTCTGCTGATTTTCCCCTTTGCTGTGCAATAGCTCCTTGGTTTGATTTAACTCCATTGCCTACACCAAAGTCTTGAATTGTTTCCCATTTTATTTTAGTAATTTCAGTTTCTATTTAACATTGAGGGTTTTGGTCCATTTTGTGTATCTGTTCTTCTAGTTAGTGGTGTATATTCGTATGTTTTCACGATGGTAGTTTTCATCCTTTTATTTGTAGTGTAGGACTCTTCAGTTATTTCTTATAGGGCTGGTTCAGTGATGATGAATTCCCTTAGTTTCTGTTTATCTGGAATAGATTTTATTTCTCCCTCAGTTTGGAAGGATAATTTTGGGTATAATAAAATCATGGGGGGCTGAGGATGTGGCTCAAGCGGTAGCGCGCTCGCCTGGCATGCGTGCGGCCAGGGTTCGATCCTCAGCACCACATACCAACAAAGATGTTGTGTCCGCCGAGAACTGAATAAATATTAAAAATTCTCTCTCTCTCTCTCCCTCTCTCTCCTCTCTCACTCTCTTTTTTAAAAAAAATCATGGTTGGCAGTTTCTATCATTCAGTATTTTGAATAGATCCTCCCATTATTTTCTGAACCATAAGATTTCTTTGAATTCTGCTGTATATGTATCCTGGATGTGATTGATGCTTTTTCTCTTGCTGTTTTTAGGCTTCTGTCTTACATTTTTGATATTTGGGCTATAATATGCCAAACATGGAAGTCTGTTGGGATCCTTTGAATTTCTTGAATCAGGATGTCCATATCTTATTGAAGGTTTGGGAAATTTTCAGCTATTATTTTGTGAAATAAATTTTCAATTCCTCTCCTCTTCACCTAAATTCTCAAAATGAGAATGCTTATTCACTTAATGGTATCCCATAGTATTGTAGACTTTCCTCATTCTTTTAAATTCTTCTTTTTTCTCTTTTTTGTCTTGCTAACTAAATTCAAGAGATCTGTCTCTAGATTTAAGAATTCTTTCTTCTGCTTGTTCTAGTCTCTTGTGAAAGTTATTTTTCATTTCATTAGTTGAAATTTTTAGTTCCAAGATATATGACTGTTCTTCATTTTTTTCTTTCTTTTCAGTGACTTTCTCATTCATATCCTGAATTGTTTTTCTTATATATCATCTCTTGCATCTCATTGCATTTCCTCAGGATCATCATTTTAATTCTTTATCAGGTACCTCATATATTTCCTTCAAATTGGGGTCTATTTCTGAAGAACTGTCATTCTCCTTTGGAATTGTGATGTTTCCTTTCATGTTTCTTGTGTCCTTGTGTTGATGTCTGCTCATCTGGTATAATGTTCATTTCTTCCAATTTTATGAAATAACTTCAGTAGAAAAAGATTCTTTTTTGCTTAGATGGGGTAAAGGCTGTCATTTGGATAGGGGCTTTGGGTTTGGATATGGGGGAGCTCAAAAGTATAGTTTCTGTGTGCTTTATGAGTCCATGGGCACCTCAATAGTCTAGACTGTAGAGGTTTGTAAAGGGTAGTTGTATGACTGCAGTGGACATGACTTCCAAAGGTATGTGACTTTGGGCTCTACAGAGTTGAGCCCTGATGGCACTGTAACTAGTGGTGGCAACTGACAACAGTTCTGGTGATGTAGAACATGGAGAGGCCTACCCTCTGGTCCCTCAGGGAAAGCACAAGTGACATCAAAGGTTGTAGCCTCAGCACCCATGGTCCCTGAGCCTAGGACATGTAGGAAGCCTTCCTTAGGATTCTCAAGATGAATGGAGGAGATGTCTGGGTCTGCAGTACCAGCAGCCACAGTTCTGAAGTCTTATATAATGAGCACAGGTGGGTCTGTGGCACTGGAAACCATGAAATTTAGATTTGGGAACACAAAAGGCCCTTCCCCTAGGTCCCATGAGGTGATTTATAGTTGATGCTGGGGCTTGTAGTGCTATGAGGTGCTTTTTGGAGTTGTGTGACCCAGATGTTACTTTCTTTACAGCCCAGAGGATAAGCACAGAGTGGTCCAGGGCTTTTGGCACCAGAACTAAGGTCTGAAGTCTGTGGGTTACACAGATGTTCCTTAGGTTTCCTGGGGCCTGTGCAATTGGGCTAGTGGTACGGTATCCATGGGAGATCTTCCCTAGGTCCTTCAGGTTGAGCATAAGTGATGATGGGGCCTGTGGCTTTGTTATCTGCAATCTTGGAGTTTCAGGATATGAGTGAGAATGTCCCTGGGGCAAGCTCTGGTAGGAACAAAGCTTGTAGAGTTAGCAATTACAGTCCTGAAGATGGGTCCTTCCCCCATCCAGCTGTACCCTTGAGTGAAGTAGAGGCTTTATGCATCTGCAGTTGCAGTCCCAAGGACTTGAGCTGAGGAGGAGACTTTTTCCTAGATTAGCAGGTGAGCAGATGTCAAGCAGGTATTCAGGCTACCACAGCTGTATTTCTGGAGCTGCAGAAACCCCTACACCCACAGGCATGAGTGAAGTTGGGATTTTGCAATAGTGGCTACAATCCCAAGGCTGTGGACTGGGAGGACATATTCCCTTGATCCTGCAGGGCAAATGTGAGTAGGGCTCAGGCTCTTGGCTATAGTCAGTGGGTGGTCCTGAAGCTGCAGGATGCTGCCTTATTCCCAGTGAAGTGTACACCAAGGCTTCTAACTGGTCAAGGGTTTGGATGCCAGCCCCAAAACAATATGGCATCTAGTAGTGGTTGTTGTAGTTTGAGTTCTGGGGGTTGAAGGAGGTCCAAAAGGTGCACTTTCTTTGGAGCAGAATAGTCACTTTTAGACCAGTCAGTTCCCCAGACTAGATTTAAAGCTTGTAAGGGTTGTGGAATTCTGCAGTTAGGACTGCTGGTCTGCTGCTACAGTCAGGGTTGCTGGTACTTCCAGCTCATCTTCTTCCCACCATGCTGGTTCCTCACTGCCTGCTGGGAGCTCTGCATTGCTTTCTTTTCTCTAGGTTGGAGACCTATGCTGTGTAGGCTTCACTGCCTTGCGGATTTCCAGAGTTCTCCCTCACATTCCTTGAAATAGTTGCTCCTTTGCTGCCTTGATCCTGTGGCAGAGGGCACAAGGCACCTCTCTTCAGCCATCTTGGCTCCCTTTTATTCTTACTAATAAGGTTGCATTTTTTTCCCTTAAATTATAAAGATTCTCACCAAAATAGGATTTGGCTTTACTTTAAAAATTAAGGGTTGGGGATGTAACTCAGTGGCAGAGAGCACTTGCCCTAGCATGTGTGAGGCTCCTGGGTTCAATCCCCAGTATGACACAAAAGGAAGTTTGCCACTCAAGAAAATATGATTTTTTTTTCTTTTGGTTAGTTCCTATTGTTCTTACCTCCTCCGCACCCCTGTCATTTGCAGGCCTGATTCCATTTGTTTCTGCCCTGATGTATTTACTCTTGGATTTTTCCAGATTTATTCTAGATTCCTTCTGGGTGAGTACTATGAGCTCTGTAGTATCTTCATAACAACCAGGATTGCATACTTACATTTATTGTATAGGACCCAGGCAAGAGAAGTAGATAGTACTCTCCAAATTTGTTGGTTCTAAATGGGCAGATATGTTTTCTGTCTTCGACTTCCACAATTACATTGGGTAATGGATTTCCATTCTGATCAAAAACTTGACCCTTTACACCTGTAGGACAAAAAGACAATCAAATGTAAATACCATTTTATGGCACATTGCAAAAATCAATGACTACCAATTACAGTCAAATTACTAATCTGACTTATAGCTTGTAGATTGTTGTTTGCTAAATATTCCATTTATAACACATATCAAAATGAGAGAACACATATGACATAATCTAAAATCAATTCCTGTCATTTCCAAATTGTTAACTCAATCGCTAAACTATATTGCCAAATCAGTGGATTCCATAAAATCCTAAACAAAACAATGTTAGTGTATTAACTTAGAAGATGTATATCTATACAAGGAATTGACAGTTTTGTCTTATGGTCAGGAAAACTATGTAAGTAGCAAAATTGCAAACAAAAATCTGCTTGAAGCATGGAATTGATTAATGATTTCTTATTACTAATACTAGCAGCCAACACTATTGAGTGCTTAGTATATTCCAGGTTCTATGCTAAGTGTTCAATATGCATTTTCTCATAGAATCCTCACATCAATTCTACAAGGCAGACAATATTATTATCACAATTTTGTAGGGCTGGGGTGTGGCTCAGTGGTAGAGAACTTGCCCACCAGGTGCAAGACCCTGCATCTGATTCTCACTCAACAGCACAGAACAAAAACAAATACAATAATCACAATTTTATAGATGAGAACAGTAAGGTTTTGGGTGGTTAAAATAACTTGCAGTCTCACACAGCCAACTATGTGGCATAATACAGATGTAAGCATAATTGTAATCTCCTGAGCCCACAATGAATCCATTATAGCATTACCTACCCCCACCACATACAAACTTCAAAATTTTAGGAGTACAATTTTTTTGTGTTGCTGGGAATTGAACACAGGGTCCTTCATATTCTAGGCAAGTGTTCTACCACTGAGAATACCCTAGACCCTCTTCTCATTTTTATTTACTTATTTTTGCTATATTGGGGATTGAACCCCAGGGGTGCTCTACCACAGAGCCTCAGCCCCATCCATTTTCATCTTTCATTTTGAGACAATGTCTTGCTAAGTTGCAGAGGCTGGCCTCAAACTTACAATCCTCCTGACTCAGTCTTCCAAGTAACTGGGATTACAGGAGTGTACCACCATGCCCAGCTTGCCTTCCCCCGCCCCCTTTAAAAATCTCACTTTTGTTTATTCCTATTATTTGGTATGCTGAAGTGGAAACATTGCCAAAAGACCAGTAGACCCAAAGAAATCAGAGAAAGATATCATATCAGGAACAAAAATAAGATTTTGAAAAAAGCTCAGATAATAAACAAAAGATGGAGATAAAACCCGAGACTCAAATTCTGTGGCCACAGCTAGAGATGTGAGGAGAAAGGAAAGGCTCTCCTTCCTTGGGTATTAGCTTCATGAATGATAAGTCCTTGCTGGGTGAGAATGGGGACTCTGCTGGCCACAATCCAGGGTGAAAGCTGGGACAGCACTTGGGAGACTGCTTGTTTGTGCCATGTCCCCACCTAAAGATCACAGTTGCCACCTGTTTGGGATCTGGTGAAAGATCCCTGTGTGTGTCCCATAGGTTTCTGGAACTCAGCACATGCCAGATGCTGCAGTTGCTTAGGTGTCTGGATGCTGTGAGTCACTCCCCAGACCTCTTGGTCTGGATCTTCCTTAAGAGTCTAGGGGAGAGACAGGGCTGCAGAAGGTGACACTGCATCTTGTGCATCTTGGCTTCTCCCCAGGGGATGGGGGCCAAGCAGGACAATCTGGGCCTAGAATTCAGATTTGTCCTCCTTTGCTATCTTGGCCTCAATAGGTCTGCAGACACCTTTATCCCAAGCCACACCTCCAAACATGACCACATGGTACCACCGGGCCCAGTTTAGACTGAAGTCTGGAGGGAGTTGCTGAAAGAACTGCGCTGGAGCTTTAGAAGATGTTGGTGCGAGGCAAGGCCAACACTATTACTCCCAGTTCATTTGACTTCGCTGAGGTCCAGAGAAGGGCTTGCTCAAGGTTTCAAATAAGCCAGATGACAAAATACCTAGGGAATCTACCCAGGCTCCTGCCCTGGTGGCAGAAGGCCTTAGTGTGCAGAGGTCCTGGATTCCAGCCCCAGCAAGGCGGGTGGGGAACAAAAGACCTTTCTTTTCCAGATAAGGCAGGTCAGAGACTTCCAGAGAAGGGTCAAAAATCTCAGTCTCAGAAGCATCCTAGCTAGTAAGAATGCAGCACAGCTTGACAAATACCATTAATTTCCTTAAACCAGAGCAGTACCAACAGAGGGTGTTAGCTCCCATCATCTACAAACAAAAATGTTCTCTCCATTGGTGCCCTTATAGAAAGAGACTTTCTATGAAGTAGTAATAGTCACACTGTATCAGTATTTTGAAATATGGTTTCATTATTAAAGTAGGAGAAAAATGCCTGTCTTAAACCACAAGGGGGCAGGTTTGATGTGCTTGTACATACACACACACACACACACACACACACACACACAAATAATTTTTTTCTTTTTTTTTTTTTTAAAAAAATTAGAGCTTTATAGTTACACAAAGTAGTTGAGTTCATCTGATAAACTCACATGTGCATGGGGGTCGATTTCAGTTCATGACACTCCACCCCACTTTCCACTCTATGCTCCTTCCCCTCTCCACTTCTCCTTTCTCTACTAGACTTCCCTTTGCTCACCTATTAATTTGTATTTATTTGGTTCTTTATGTTATCTTGTCCTTTCCCCCTTTCCTTTATTTTACTCTAGCCTCCACATGAGAGAAAACATTCAACTTCTGAGTTTCTGAGTTTGGCTAATTTCACTTAGCATATTCTCCATTTCTATCCATTTACAGGCAAATGCCATACTTTCATTCTTTTTTATGGATGAGTAGAATGCCATTGTGTATGTTTCCAGCACAATTTCTTAATCCATGTCTTTTTAAAAGTGAGTTGTTCACATCTGATAACAGTGACAGGTAGATAAATATTCCTCATATGACCTAGTGTAAATGGACTTGCAAGTCCTCCAAATTAATAACGATGACTGTAGTGCATTTTGTATGTTATTGGTTTACAAAGCTCCTTCACTGGCAGTATCCTGTCAGCATGATGCTTGGAAGCCCACCTTAATTCAGCGCTTGGTGAATCATCTTTACAACTAGATTCTGAAAACAGTAGTACATTTATAAGAGTATATTTCAATTCAGTTTCATTCCCATGTTGATACTGATAAAAGATGAATTTCAGAAAAGAATACACCGTAACACACGAAGGGTCACATGGGAGGAAATATAATACCAAGGTTAAACTAATCCATGCTTCATGAGGCAAAGCTAGTGGAGAATGAAATGCCAGAATGCAAAACAAGACCCCAGACCAAGTTTTATGACATAATAAAGGAGAAAAATCTAGTGATCTGCTTATAACCTTGATGAAGATGCTGGTGAAAAGGTGACATTTTGTAATATTCCCTACATAGGGAATCATCTGATTCAGCAGTTAGGGCCCTGAGAGTTCACCAACAATGTTTGTGTATTTCTGTTCAGTTTGGGGTTGGAGGTTGGGGACAAAGGTAAGGAATTGGATGGAGGCATGCATTTTTAGGGATGTGCAGCCAAGGGATAGTCTTAATGATGCTTGTATTCAGCTCCCTGCCCTGTGCTCCCCATAGCCACATCCTTCCCTGTCTACTCTCAACAGGTAGAGAGCATGGGAAGCATGCAGGAGATTCCAGTAGGGCCGTGCAGCGAACCTCTTCACACAAACTCACCCTTAACTTGGGACTGATGTTGTGCCACAGCTATTATGACAATCCCTAATATACTTCTTCCCCCAAGCCTTTCTGAACTGAGAAAAATAACCTTGGCCCTGGCCATACAGAAGAGTCTTCCACATTCCACCCAAAGAGACACCAACTGGTTAGCAAACTTGGATTGCACATGATTCCATCATCACACATAACATGTTTTTCTAGTGCAAGAGTTTTCTCAGCATATCCCTGGATATCAGTATCACCTGGGAAGATGTTAACAATTCCAGTCCCACAAAATCAGAAACTCTGTTGAGGCCCGGCAGTCTATCTCCCCATACGCCTGATGTTTATATTTGGGAGCTACTTTTCTTTTGCCACATTTATTTTGTTCATCTGTGATAGAGGCTGGTAAGCCTTCAGAAAACAGGCTGGGTTCTATTGCCTGGTCATTTGGTAGAGGTGAGGGGTGGGAGGGGTGAAAGTAAACGTGCTAGATCACCACCCAGTTTCTGGGAAAAAATGCAAAATTGTAATGTCCAATGTTGTGTGGCAAGTAACAAGCAAACCTGGCTTTTTCCTCCTTGGGAGATCATGTAAAAGAGTAACATCGTGTTTGCTGGAGGAACACTGTATTCTCACACTGCAGATACCCGTACAGAGAGAATTCTGTATGAATTCTGGTACTGAAATGAGGCTGTACCTGGAACACATAATTAAAGACTTGTATTTGCTCAGCCCAAAGGTCCTGCCAGATGCTCTATTTTGTGTTAACAGGGAATAATAAAATCTTACAAACCTAGGTGCACCTGTTTTATATATTCAATTAATGAGGCCTTGTTATCATTCCAAAAGTATGGCAGCTTTTCCTCACGAGGATATTTACAGCATGACAGCTCCAGTGTAATTTCAAAACACTGGGCCCAGATGTAGTTGTAGTCTTGCATTCCACCTACAAACAAGCATATTTAGTTTTTGTTAAGGCCTAAAATTGAAGTGAAGCCAAGTATCACAGACCTTGGGGATGAGTGGATGAGACAGTTGCAGGGGAAATGAATGTAAACAGGAAAAGATGAATTTGACATATTAGCATGAAAAACCAAGGATTGACATGACGAGTCATGACTAGGCATCTTAAATATTTCCATATGCAAAACTGGATCAGAGTTGACTAAAGTTCAGTTGTGCATCAAAATTAAATGAGGGGTGGAGGAAGACTCCTTTTTTATTTTTATTTTTAAAAGTTCTATATTATGAAAGGATTCTTCAGATTCCACTTCTTCCTTAAATTACATTTAAAATGGATGTAAACTAGAATAGAATTTCGAATATATCTACAAACCATTCATTTGTAAGCTCATTTATATGAAGCAAAGAACACTAGTTTTAAGGGAATAATAATGGCCAACATTTACTTAGTGTTCACTATTGCTAGGTACTGTTCAAAGTGCTTTAGGTCAACTCATTGAATCCTTATGACAATTATTACCGCCTTATACAGAGCAGGAGATATAATCCCAGATGTTAGGTCATGTGTCCAGAAATTCCTGCCTGTGGACAACAGAGACTAGGGTGTAGGCTACCTTGCCCTAGCTCCTGTGCTTTTTTTTTTGTTTGGTACTGGGGATTGAACCCAGGGGCACTTTACCACTATATCTGTGGTCCCCCTACCCCAGCTGTTTTCTTTTTCCCCCTTAATTTTGAGACAGGACCTCTCACTAAGTTGCTTAGGGTCTCACTAAGTTGCTAAGGTTGGCCTCAAAATTGTGATCCTCCTGCCTTGGCCTCTAAGTCACTGGGAATATAGTTGGGTGCCACAGCACTCAGCCTGAGTTCCCATGCTCTTACCTATTATGCCAAGGTGCTTGTGGGGGTCAGAGAAAGAATGCCACTGACTCTCAGGAGGAAAAATACCCAGAGCCCTGTGGCTTCTGGTGCTGCCAGTGCTTACATCATCTTTTTGTTTTTAACCTTCTGAAAACCCTATTTTCAAAGGGTTATTACAATTTTATTTTCTAAGATAAAAATATTTTCATATTTTAATCTCTCTGAATTGAGATATCTTAAATGTCATGCTTGAAAAAATTATGGCGTTAACTGAAAACACTTTATTCCTTTCCTGGTGGTTTATCATATTTTACAATCAATGTCATCTTGGATTTGATGGAATAACAGTAACTTTAAAGGAAGTAGATTTTAATTTTCTACACTTGATATCTGCACAAGAAAATATGTATTCTCAATTCCATCAGGATATTTTGGAAGCACTGAAGTAGAAAAACAGTTTGATTTCAAGAAAATGATTAAAAGAGTATATCAGAATACTGATACATACTACTATATATAGGTAGCTGGGCGCAGTGGCACATGCCTATAATCTCAGTGGCTTGGGAGGCTGAGGCAGGAGGATTGTGAGTTCAAAGCCAGTCTCAGCAACTTCGCAAGCCATTAAACAAACTTAGTGAGATCTTGTCTCTAAATAAAATACAAAAAAGGGCCGAGGGTGTGGCTCAGTGACTGAGTGCCTCCGAATTCAATCCCTAGTAGTAATAATAATAATATACTAGACACCTGGTGGTGGCATGTGATTGAATAAATCAAATTATTTCGAAAAAAAAATACTAGATATATTGGGCTGGGATTGTGGCTCCATGGTAGAGCGCTTGCTTAGCATGTGTGAGGCACTGGGTTTGATTCACAGCACTGGAAATAAATAAACAAACAAATAAATAAATAAATAAAAATAAAGGTCCATCAACAATTTAAAAAATATGAAAAATACTAGATATCAAGTAATAACTGTGTAGGCCCAGATTCTAGCCAGGAAAAGCCTATCTTATAGATTTTTATATTTCTCTCTGAACTTATTTTCACAAAAAACAAAACAATAAGGAAAAGAGAGAAAAGAAAACAATATTTTTGACTGGATGGATATGTCTCAGGTAGAAAGAATTTAAAGGGCAAAACTGGTGTGCTTTAAGGATCCCTAGCAAAGTATTCCCAATTGAAAATGCCAAGCATGGAGAGTGATCAAAGCTCTGGATAAAGCCAGTCATGCTTGGCAATAAAACCTGTAGGAGGGCCAGAAGGCTTTGCTCTCTACTCCAACGCAGCTGGCTTTGCCTTTTTTTTTTTTTTTTTTTTTGAGAAGGATAACACAGCTCATACATACATACTTGGGAAATTTCCAATAGTAACTACTGGGTTTTTAGCTGATTTCCTATACATTTGAATTTGTCTTCAGTTATAGACAGTGAATATTAAGGACGACTCTGCCACTGAGCAGGAGTGAGGTCCTCTCCTAGCTCCAAAGAGGGAAGAACAAGACTAGGGTGGAGACCTAGGTGGGAACGGGGGTGCCTATCTTAGCAGGGAGAGTTTGGGGTGTTGTGGTGTCTAGCTGAACCTTCTGGCTGCATGCCCTCAATCATCATCTATGCTTATTTACATTATCTGGAAATCTGTCAACGAGCTGTCCAGACACAAAGTACTAGCTTGTGCAAGATTACTGGCAGCCTGTGCATCTAAAGTGATAACTTGTGAAGGCACCTTTGGAAGTGGCCTGTGTGCAGAATTGCAGCTTGAGGGCCAGCTGGCCAGGCTGGCCAGGCTGGAAGGGAATACTTTCCAGTTCCAGCTCACTGTATCCCCTTCTGGCCTTCTGCCCTTTGTCCCTCCTAATATTTTTTCAGTTCTCATACTAGTGTGAGTTCCCAGATACTCCTGGGCTTCTGTTTACAGTACTCCTTCTTGCAAGAATATCTTCCTTTCATGTTCCCCACATGCTAATCTCCCTCCCTTCCTTCTTGCCATCCTATTCCAAGGGTGGAAACTGGAGGACCCTGTCTGCTGTGTCCTGCCTGAAAAGTCCTTTTATTGAGCCTGCAAAGTAGCTTTCTAAGAAGGGTACTTCTTCCTGATATCCAGCTTTTCATAACCTGGAATGTCTAGCCATATTGGTTCTCCACTACTACTTGGCAATAATAAGCTGGATCTAAGTATCAACAACTGTCCCTGTGAGATGGGACATAAGCTTTGCAATTCTCTAAGGTCTTCACAATTTCCCTATTGTCTTTTGGCTTTTGTGTAGCTATTGTGTATCTACTGGTTTGTATATCCCTATGGTACACAGGTATCTTTTCTAAATCTTCATTCTTATTCTAATTACACAATCACAATTACTTATTTGCCTTAACCTTGAGGGTAAGATCTGCTGTCTTGTTCATCTTTCTTGGTACAGTTCTGGCTCAGAGCATGCAGATATTGAATAAATACCTGAATGAATAAAAAAGGCCATTGGCAGTGAGGGACATGTCTGAGCATCTCTCACCTCCACTCCTTCTGTGGTATTAGCTAATGGAGAGAAGATTGAGAGACACAAACCAGCTGGTGCCCTTGGGTGATGACAATAAGGAGAATGGAAGAAATGAAGAGAAACTCACCTTGGAGTGGATACCAAGAGTAACCATTTGTAACTCCATTGGGAAAGTTCATTTTATTTTTACACTGATCTCCTTTAGTCATGTTGGGATTTCTTGAAGCATAGGTATGTGCAAGATGTTGAAAAACATCATCATCAGGAGTTAAGCTTCGGGAGAGCAATGTTCCAGTTGCTGCATTTGAAAGACACATCAAGACCTTTCAATTAACTTGTAGTAAGATGTTAGCAAATACATACTCACGTTGCACATAAATGCTCTCATTTCCACGGAGAGATCCACCCATTTCCATCAATGCTCCCTCTATTCTTTTTTCCACTTTTTAATAAACAAATACAAGGTGATATCTCACAAAATAAGTCAGATACATATCCAGATTTCTCCTAAATCAGCTTAAAAATTAGACATCCTCTTGGTACCCTTGCTGATTTCTGAAGGTTGGCAAACTTTCCTTAGGTATTCAGGGGGTTGAAGGAAGCCAGTAATATTTTAAGTCCTTGAGTTTTAAAAGGAGTCAGCAATTACCATTCATATGATTAGCAAAGAAATGTAATTTGTTCTAGTTTTATTTTGTTTTAGCCATGTAGCCTCTTGTGAGGTGACCTAAGTCTGATTTTACTATTTTACTCATGAATATCACACTACTGGCTTCAGTTCAGCCACACTGCACATCCACCGCTTGAGAATTTGTAGGAAGGATGGCTTAGGGTTGGGAAATTAAAGCTCCTTCTAACCCAGCCAGAGATGTTAAGCAATGGGAGAAGGGTTCCTCCTCACATAGAGGCACTACATTTGTAGCTCTGCTCTGCACTTAGAAAGCCAGAGTGGGTCCCACATTTGCTTACCTTGAACACCATTATCAAATGGGTAACTGGCCACCAATGCACCACCGTGGAGGTTTGCAGAGAGGACAAATGTCTCCGATTTTAGCCACTTCATGATTGCCAGAGTTTCAGGCTGCCTTGATACATTATTATATTCAAAGGCATCAGGGAAATTTCTATTCAGGTCATACTGGTTATAATTTTCCCTTTAAAAGAAAGAACTTTTTAGGGCTCATTGATGTTGTTACAAGGGAAAAGATTCTTGCAGTGCAAAGACCTTTGGATTAGGCTCCAGGTGTTTCCCAGATGTGGTAGATGGCAGCCTTGGTGCCTCCAACAAACCACACACATTTACACCCTACGTGGTCTCCTCCTCCTGTCTGACCTGCTCTTACCAATAGAACATTAGCTATTGTAACCTAAGCAGAAGCTTTTGGTAAGTCTTTGCATTCTGGGACTTTTGCCCTTAGAAAACTTTCTTTTGGAGCTTGAGACTCCAGTGGTAGATACATGGAGAGTCCACATGGAGAAATGAAGAGCCCAGGGGACAGCCAGAATGAGGACCCAGGTGAGGCACTTGGACTGGCCATTCCGGCCCTGCTCTGCTCTGCCCAAACTCCTGACTTACAGGGGGAAAAAAAAAAAAAAAAGCTATTGTTTCAACTCACCAGTTTAAGAATGGTTCCTTATGTAGCAGAAACAACAGGAGGAGTGAGCTATTTTATATTTATAAAAAGTGGAATGTTTAAATATGCTAAAAAAACCCTAAAACTGAAGAGAATCCAGTGGTGAGATTTTATTTTTAGTAAAGCAAAATTGCACAAATATAAATATATGTTAAACATTTGAAAATTTCTAAACCTTCCAAGACAGCTTGAAACAGAAACTGTTTAAACCAGAACTACTATAAGACTGATTCTTCTTTGTGGATAGATCACTGGCTTAATAAATCAACCACTAATGATTGAGGGTGTGCACTACCCCAGGCAACCGGGAGCTCACCGCAATGAACATACCAGACATGATCCCTTCCCTCAGGGAGCTTGCTTTTTAGTGGGGAGACAGAGATTACACAAGAAATTGGACCCTACAAATTGGGCTATGAAGGTAAAGAGCTGGGTGACCTAAGAGTATACCAGGGTGCCTAATATTATGATACAGGTCAGGGAAGGAGTCTTTGAGGAAATGCTATGTCAGCAGCAGGAGGAGGTAAAGAGAGAGTGGAGGTGCCAGACGCCTGTGCCCAGAAAGCACTGGGAGAAGAGGGAGAAGAACCAGAGAGGCAGGAGCCCAGGGTGCAGGGGGCGTGGCCAGTGGAGGCGACACCAGTATTGAGGATTTCAAGATTCATCCTGCAAGCAGCAGGCAGGAGCTCCAGCACACTGGGGCAGGGTGCTGGCTGGGAGATGCTTCACTGTCATCTAACTCCTCTTTCCAGGGCCAACAGGTACCTGATGGCAGCCTTTCCGTTTTGTCTTGTTTTAAAATAAAGTTAGACCAGTCCATCTCACCTTCCGTTACTGTAGAAACAGTCAGGCTTTTTGACAGCTTCGAATCCATCTGGGTTCATTGATGGCATGATGTGTATCCGGGTACTATTGATCAGATTCGTGATTTCAGGGTCTTTCCCATAGCTGGTGACGAGATAGTCAATCAGATGGAGCAGCAGCTCCCTCCCGACAGTCTGTGTGGTGGAAGAGAAAGGGGGTGTTTTAGGTCAGAAGCAATAAGGAAAACCATGCCTGGAGCACAAATCCCTCAGCAGGGGCCTGAATGCATGATATATTGGACCAAAACTAGTCCATAGGACCACTAATTCCTCCAGCACAGGGCAATCAGGCAAGTGGTAATCAATCCCTGGATGTGCTGCAAAGTATTTGTTACTCAAAATTACTCTGTTGTAAATAGTTTACTTTTTATCTTGGGGATAGGGATTGAAACAAGAATAATTATTTTTTAAAAAGAATGACAGCCAGGTTCAGTAGTGCATACCTGTCATCACAGCTCTTCAGAAGGCTAAGGAAGGAGAATGGCAAGTTCGAGGGCATCCTGGGCAACTTAGCAAGGAGACCATGCCTCATAAAAAACTTTTAAAAAGGGCAGTGGGTGTACCCAACCTAGGTGCCCTTCAACAGATGAATGGATAAAGAAAATATGATATGTATATACAATGGAATATTATTATGACTTTATGAAATCTGCTGGTAAATGGATGGATCTGTTAAACCAATCCCCAAAACCAAAGGACAAATGTTCTCTCTGATATGCAGATGCTAGGGAGGGTGGGAAGGAGAAACAGAAGTTCAGGTGGATTAGACAAAGGGAAATGAAGAGAAGGGAGGGAGGACAGGAATAGGAGAGACAGTGGAATGAATGAGACATAACTTTCCTATGTTTATATATGAATACACCATTAGTGAAACTCCACATCATGTACCACCACAAGACTGGGATCCTAATTAGAATAAGCTCTATTCCATGTATGTGTAATATGTCAAAATACACTCTACTGTCCTGTATATCTAAAAAAAAAAACAAATAAAAAATAAAACACAGGAGATATTTTTAAAAAGAAAGAAGGAAAAGAAAAGAACTCAAGCCAAAGGCTGACAATGAGATTCACCAGCCAAAGGCAAAGAAAGCCAGGATTAAAAGACTTGGGTTGAGTGTGAATTCAGTTAACAGTAGAACTAGTCATCAGTTCTATTTACAGTCAAAATTTAACCAGTTATTTTTAGTTTCACTTCAGTTTTATTCTTCTGTTAATAAATTTTAGTAGGATTAAGTTTAAAGATTTAAATATAATCATACTTAGGTCAATTTGAATATGATTACATTTTATACATCTTAAAAGTACCAACTCATAATATAAAATAGAAATATACAAGTGTCTGGGAAATAGTAATAAAGGTTATTCTGGGTGAAAGTATTCTGATAACTTGTTACCTCTTATTTTTCTAGTATTACTTTCTAGTATCTTTTTGTCATTTTTATAAAAACAATAAAGTCATGATTCTTTCAGGTACAAAAGTGTGTAATCAAAGTATTTTCTGTTTGCCTCAATATACCACAAGAAGTCACAAGTGCTCAACTGGAGAGGGTATATAAAAACCTTGGGAATATGACAAAGAATAATTTTCAGATAATTTGAAAAATGCTGAGGCAAACAAATGAAATTTCAGAGGGAGTTAAAATCTCTTTTTTCGGTTGGTCCATACTTGCTGCCTCTGTAACAGCAGAGTTCAACCAAATATTATTCAAATTAATTCCTCCCAACTTTAATATAAATGTCTCAAACATTCACTCATGTTTTATGTATAAACCTCCTTCCCTTCCCAATTTTAAAACTTTAGAATTAAGCCTTTGACTATGAAACCTTGGAGAGTTCAAATTTTAAGAAAGAATGTGGTGAAAACAGTGTCCCTTAGCTTACCCGGCCTTTCATCCAGCACGCTCACTTCCTTTCTGTGAGAGTATGGGCTTCATGAAAGGACCCCCAGTAAGAGCCTGGGAGGCCTGGAGCACACACACTGCGTGGGGAGCCTTTCACTGGTGATTCAGACGGTCGTTAAAATGGCAATAACCCAGAAGGCAGAAAATAAAGTCTCCATCAGGTTTAGTTCAATTCAGCCAACTTGGAATTTGCCAGACAGATAAAAATGAGTTCTAGATCTTCAAAGCATGTTTATAACACAACCGGGAAAATTTGAAGGAACAATCCACAACACCGTTAGCAGGGGGCAAGAGAGAGGGGGAAAGGCAGACAGGCAGACAGACACAGACACAGACAGAAACTTCAGTTCTGGGGTTCCACAATGGTGTGTTACAGATTTAATTCATTTGCCTGATGGTCTAGCTAATCCTCCTTGGTCAAATATCGAGCCTACAGATTCCATTATCTAACATATAGTCCCTAGCCTCCCATATCTGGGTTCAGTGACCTGCCTGTGTGGCCCCTGCACACCCCACCACTATGCTATCTAATGCCACTCACATAGGTTACAGTTAACCTAGCTGGGTACCCCTTCCCTACTTCACCATCTAAGCCTTGAGAGTAAGGATCTGAACCATTTCCCTCTGTATCCCTGGTATATCTTGCACATTTCCTGGTGTATCATGAATTTGGTAATTGTTAATTAGTTACTGTTGACAAATCTAGTACAAGATCAAGACAACCCTGAGAAAGAACTTTTGGAAAACACGAAGACCCATAGTACTTAGGAAGAAGAGATGTTCAAAATGATAGTTATTTTGTTTGAAGGATTTTCAGTACTGAACAAAATTTACAGGGGTGTGGGGGGGCTGACATTTCTGCTTATGACAAGAAATCTAAATATCTGGTCACACTGGCTCAGCCTCACCAAAAAGAGATGGAGAAACAGATCACTATTTGAGGAATCTTCTACCTGCTAAAAATGAATCTGACACTTCACCTGGAATAACCATTAGCTCTGTCTAAATCTAAACAGAAAAAAACTATTTAAAGTCATGTGGTATAATTTTTGAGAACAGTTTGCTATCTAGAAAGTGGTGGAAAAAAGTTTTGGAAGAACAAGCTTTTACATTTTTGTTCGAACAAATTTGGCACCTCTATCTCATGGTGATTACACATCCCAGACTTTCTAAGACAGGCACAATTTCAGATATTATGTCTTATTGTCTGCATAAACCATTAAAATACCCTCTAAGTACAAACATTTAGATATACAAATTGCATCATATAAACTGTTTCTATACTGAGATTTGTAAAAGTCAAATGTGCTTTATTTTTAGGTTGAAAATATGCTCATTATTTATAGGAAATGTTTTTTCTTTCAACCTATATATTTGGAATACAATAAAGTATAAACAAATGTTACTAAATGTAAGATTCTAAATGTGATATGGATTTTTTCAAAAGTCTAAACCCAAATAAACAATCATAGTAAAAACTGACATTTAAGAAACAGAAACTTAAATTCCCAGGGTGCTACTTCCTCCCCCAAGTCAGAATTGTAGTTTAGTTAAACTTAAGAAAAACATCAAATACCTACTCTCACAGTAATCAAGATGTGGCCCCAAGGTCAAGGCCACTGGGGCTGGAATCCAAGGTCTGACCTATACTTTACCTGTTGCTGGGTGAGCTTAAAACTCTAGGCACTCAATTCTTAAAACACAGTCATGCCTCACTTCATTATTTCCACTAAAGAAGAATTAGAGAGGTCTTAACCAAACCAGCAGATGCCCAAATAAAATAGTTTTTTTTTTTCCTAAAAATAAAAATAACAAAATAAAGGCACTGGGTGGGGAGATAAAAAGCACAGAACAGCACAGAGAGCTTTAGGAAGAAAGGAGGTATGGAGACCCTCCTGGGTGGCTCTCCTGCAACCACACTGAGGCCAAGGATGTTATGTTCCCAGCGTCAGGACATGACCAGAGCTTTAAGTAAAGCTCAATTTTAGATTATTGATTTTAGTGTCCACAAATCAAGACAATAGCCGAATGAGGGGGTAGGGGAAGGCAAGGGGGAGACAGATCTCAACCCCAAACAATCTGAATACCTATGGAATAAGGGAAGAGTAGGACTCCAATCAGTGTGTACTGGCATCGATCCTTCCAGTTAGAAAAGTCTAACTAAACTTCAGGTGTGTCATTAGGAGGCTGCATATATTAAACCTAGAATTGGGGTTTCTACAATTCTAAGTTCCAATGTGTATGTAAACCAGGGCCTGGAGGAACTAGACTTACTAAAATGAGGAAGATGAAATCTGAGAAATGTTCCTCCCATGCTTTTTTATAAAGTACGGGCACATCAGGGGACAAAGGCTCCTCTGGATGCTTTGTCTGTAAGCTCCCAGGGGTGACTCCTCTGCAGTCAGGAGAAGCAAGCAGGAAGTTGGAAGACAAAAGGTTCCAAGATAGGCAACTGGGAAAATCTCTTTCAGTGTTGCTCCTTCTAAAAGCTTGTTACTGTTTTGTATGATCAATAAACCAAAGTGTTCTCATTAAATGATTCTGGAACAACTGAGTATCCATCCAAACAAAATTAGTTTGAGGGAGACCAAAGATCTATATACAACAACTAAAACAATAAAATCAGAACACTCCAAAGACAGTTAAAAAGGCAGATCCACTGGATAAGGCTTAATGCTCAGGCTCCAGATTCAGATGGTTTTGTGGTAAAATCCAAACATGGATCACTTAGAGCCTTGCTAAATTGCCAGGCTGTCCTCAAACCTGCCTCTTCCTGCCTCAGCCTCCCGAGTAGCTGGGGCTTTGGGCCTGTACCACTGTGTCCACAATAACATCTTTTCTTTCTTTCTTTTTTTTTTTTTTAAGTTACTGTCTTGCCTTTAGTTTTTTTTTTTTTTTTTTTTAAAGAGAGAGTGAGAGAGGAGAGAGAGAGAGATAGAGAATTTTTTTTCTAATGTTTATTTTTTAGTTCTCAGCGGACACAACATCTTTGTTTGTATGTGGTGCTGAGGATCCAACCTGGGCCGCACACATGCCAGGCGAGCGCACTACCGCTTGAGCCACATCCCCAGCCCTTGCCTTTAGTTTTTTAAAAAATAGATTGGAACTGGGCATGGTCATGTGCAGTTGTAATCCCAGTTACTGGGAGGCTAAGGCAGGAGGATAGAGAGTTTGAGGCTAGCCTGGGCAACTAGTGAGACCCTATCTCAAAATAAAAATGAAAAGGTCTGGGAACGTAGCCCAGTGGTATAGCATCCCTGGGTTCAATCTCCAGTACTATTTTTTTTTTTAAGTTTTAATCTTTATTTTAAAAACATAATAACTAGGTGAGGTAGAAGGAGTCATTTTCCAACACTGCTCCTATACACTCAAATTGTAGGTTCTTCATGGTTTATTCTGAATTGCAAAAATTCTCTCTGTGCTTTCCTTTACTCAATCCTGGCTGCCATAATCAGACAGAAAGTTCAAGTTGCTTTTTTTTTTTTCTTGGATATGGAGTAGAAAACTTAACAGATTATTTTTAATAAGGAAAAGACCTAATTCTAAAACAAGGTATAAAGAGGTGGAGATTCATGGGGGAAAATGGCCAAACTGGGTACTCCTGATGCTGCTGCTCCCACTGTCATAGAGTCACCATATCAAGTGGTAACAACACACGCCCACATACATGCACACAGGAGAGAGAAAACATTTGAAAAATAATGTGGCCAATCTTGTACATCATGCCCCTCAGCATATATGTACCTCCTATAGGGACTGTCCACATCAGGTCCATAATCTCCCAGAAGATCCAAAGATCCTGAGGTTGGAGGTCAAAGTTTGTACCAATGTAACAAGGAATACCTCTAGAGAAGGTTAAGGATCACTGCCCTAAAATACTAACTACATTACTTTTTCTTCTTCTCTTTTCTCTTTTCAGTGCTGGAGATTGAACCCAGGGCCTTGAACAGTTAGGCGAGTGCTCTACCACTGAGTTATCCCCCAGCCCCTTATCTTGCTTTTCTTTTTTTCTTTGTCACCAGGGATCAAACCCAGGGGTGCTTAACTACTGAGCCACATCCACAGTCCTTTTTATATTTTATTAGAGACAAGATCTCTCTGAGTTGCTTAGGGCCTCACTAAATTGCTGAGGCTGGCTTTGAACTTGTGATCCTCCTTTCTCAGCCTCCCTAGCTGCTGAGATTACAGGAGTGTACCACTTGGCCCAGCTTCATTGCTTTTTAATAAGATAGAAAAACAGAGAATGCTTTCAGTGCCAAAAGATTTAAGTAAGGAACAAGGTGGCGGTTAGACCCTGTGCCAAGTGACTTTTTTGCTCCTAGGTTAGGCCATTGCTTTTTCTAACTCCCAGTGGCACCAGGATGGCTGACTATTGAAGTCTTCAAGTTAAAAATAATAACTTTCTTAGCAGTCCCATGGAGCCCACAGATGCTTCTACCAGCTGGGACATGAAAGGGGTTTACATGTTTCAGATCCTCACCTCAAAACACACCAAGACTTTTTCCTCTGCCTAATCTCAGTCCTCACTATTCCTTAAATAAGCAGGGTGAACTAGAGAGACTTGACATTATGGACACACTAACTACACCAGAAAATTGGGAAACTGCATGGAAAGAATAGCCAATTAGTGTGTGTGGGGGTGTGGGCGGGGGGCAATGTTTCTTCTTACCTTTGGAAGTTTCAGTTCTGAGGGTTAATTTCTGAGTTGCAGACTGCAACTCCTGAAGCACCAGGAATTCAATAAATAAACGACTGAAGGCAAAGAGTGCCATCTGTCTCTTATTAAAAATGGATTCCAAGGGACCTTGATCAATAGACTGGGCAGCAAAAGGGAAAGACGTCTGGGCTACTCTAATCGTTGTTTTATTAAAAGCAACTTTGGTTGGACTCCCAGCAATCTCAAGTTTTTTTGTTTTTTTTTAAAGAAACAGTGCATTATGTTCAGAAAGCCACAGATGGATCAAACTTCACTGGCCCCCAAGATACCTACTCTTTTCTGAGAGGCAGATGTTGGCATCTTTGCTCTGGCTGCAAGAAAAGTACCTTCTCTAAGCTGGGCAGGTTGGTCAGCATGCCTGGCAAGGGCAGGCTGTGTGCGTCATGAAGGGTGGAGCCAGTTCCCCAGGAGCCTTGGCTCGGGGAGGGTGAAGCCAGGTCAGGAAGCTTAGCACTGATGAGAGCAAGCCACCCAAGCTATTGCAAATCTCTAGTGTTTCAACAAGTGAGCAGGTTGTACTTATTGGAATATGCATTTACACTGACATTCCTTTAAATTACATGTTTTATAATGCATTCTGCACGTTCCTGTGCATATATATATATCTATTTTTTTATGGTGATGTCAGGAAACTACCTTTCTACACTTGACTGCTCAGTCTTATTGAATCCTGGTAAGTGGAAAATACTGCAGTTGTCATGTTCTCAAAAGTCTAAGGAAGTAAGGTGAGAAAGGGAGATGAACATCTTCAACTGTGTGCCAGATGGCTGGGCAGGTAAGAGTGGCAAAAGGATATTTTGTGAAACAAAAAGAATTTATTTCTTCTAACTTGAAAAAGAGGTCAGACGCTATGAAGGCATTCAACAGTATCTGTGGAATGATGGGTCTGAGAGAACCCTAAGTGTAGCTACCTCAAAGTGAACATTGAAACCATTGAGTATGTCAGGGGTAGTGGTGCAGTCCTGTAATCCAAGGCTGAGGCAGGAGGTTCGCAAGTTCAAGACCAGCCTCAGCAATTTAGCAAGGCCATTAGCAACTTAGCAAGATCTTGTCTCAAAATGAAAAAGTAAAAAGGGCTGGGATATAGGTCAGTGGTTAAGCACTCCTGGGTTCAATCCAAGAAAGAAAGAAAGGAAGGAAGGGAGGGAGAGAAAGAAAATACTGAGTATTGGATTAAGAGCCACAAAAGTATTCAAAAGCCAGATGTTAGGAATCTGGATAGCTATTTGGAATTTTCTGATTGTTCTGAGTTCAAATAAATAGAGCTCCTTTGCTGGGATGGAAGGCCTTGGCTGGGAGGAGCCGAGAGCTAGAGCACTGTTTGCAGCTTCAAGAACAAAAACAGGTCAGGTTACTCTCACAGGGCACTAGGTATTTGACCAAATGGCTGTGCTGCTGCTGGACCCAGATTCCTTAAACTCCTTCAGAAGGTCTCACAGAAAGACCTTGCAGGGCCTTACTTCTTTGTTGCAATATGTGAGTCTTCTTTATGTTTCCTCTTTAGCATTTACATGGACCTCAAGAGACAGGAGGGGAAGTGTGTCTGGTGACTTTGCAGAAATTCACGCCATGTCCATACCTCATCTCCATGCATATTTCCTACGTATTTGAATTCTGGAATCCCAACTCTGTGTTCCTTAGGAAACCGTCCCACGACAAGAACCCATAGGTTTCTACCTTTATTGGGAAGAAAAAAGAGAAAAGTAAGTTCATCTCTTAAAATGACAAATGAACTCTGGGAGAATGAGAATTGACCAGCGATGCTGTTTTTCCCACCTTACTTTTAACATTTCATGGTGACTTCCCTTCATATAACTAACATTTTAAGTGCTTAAAATATTCTTGTTTATTGTCAGAATTTAGGGAAACCCTTTCAATTCAACACAAATATTTATTATTCTAGGATGTGATTTTTAGAAATTGAACACTTATTAGGTTACATAGATCTTACTTTTCTAAAATGTTTATATACCTCACTTTAAGAACCTGGAGGCTCACAGAAACAATCTTGGGAAGGCACGCAATTTAACAAAGTTAAATTACAGTTGATGGTTGACTGGAAGGGGGGCCATAACTTGCAGCACAAAAAAATGAAAAAAGCAACAGTAATAAAACATGTAACTCAGGAGGGAGATTGTTTTTAAAGTAAGAACTCCTGAATCCTGTATTCAAATGCTAAAGCGACAAGCCCCCTGTGGCTGTGTTTTTGATGTGCATGAGTTCTGCAAAGTAAATTAGAAACCACAACCTGTGCTAACAATACCAAGGAAAACTTCTAAATCCCAGCTCTGCCTTAGACTGGAAGGGCAGAGACAAGATCATCAAGAACTGCCAGGACTGTGTCTGTGCCTATATCACAGCTGGTACCTGGTTCACCTCACCTCAAGCAATCCTGTCATGACCCACTGAGATGGATTATCAAACTTCCCAAGTGAGAAAACTGACTATCAAAAATATTAAGTAAACTTCTTATGATCATAAAAGAGACCACAACTTAAGCCCCAGAGCCATGCCTTGAACCCTGGTCTATTTGATTTCAATTCTAGTGCTCCTTTCACTAACAAAAACTATCCATCTCTCAGGAGGCTTGGTTTCCCAACCAAAGAAAGAAGTCCTTTTCAATTCTAAAATTGTCTGGTGCTTTTAATACAAACAGTTTAAAATTGGAGACTGGGATTATGTTTGATCTCTATCAGATATATACAAAGTTCAAATTATCTGTGATAACTCAGCTGTATGTGGAATTTAAGAACCCAGGAAAACAATTTAATAGCAACTAATAGGCTAATGTTGAGAGGGTTTCTGCAGAATTTCTGATTTAGTTCCTCAAATCAGGGATCTTACAGGCTGGGGAACACTCAGTTACAATGAGTAGCTGAAGGAGAAGCAGATATTGGATTGTCTTTTTCAACATTTACTCATAATATTATTAGAATAATTTTTTAGGGAAATTTGTCATGAACAAGTTGATGCTTTAAATTCAGTAACTAGGAATTTTCAGAAAATGTTCACAAAATGCAGTTTGTCTGATTGATGGCCCCTGTTCAGTGTAGAGTTCACCTCCATTTATTCATTTGATTACTACATCTAGACATTCAGCCTGGATCAGTGACATGCTCCATGCCCAATGATTTTTTTTAACATATTTTTTTTTAGTTGTAGATGGACATAATTTCTTTGTTTTATTTATTTATTCATAATAGCTAAATTGTGAAAGCAACCTAGATGCCCTTCAGTTGATGATTGGATAATGAACATGTGGTATATAAACACAAGGAATACTATTCAGCATTAAAGAGAACAAAATCATGGCATTTGCAGGTAAATGGATGGAGTTGGAGAAGATAATGCTAAGTGAAGTTAGCCAGTCCCCAAAAATGAAACGCCAAATGTTTTCTCTGCTATAAGGAGGCTTATTCATAGTGGGGTGGTGGTGGGGAACATGGGAGGAATAGACAAACTCTAGATAGAGCAAAGGGGAGGAAAGGGTAAGGAGGAGGCATGGGGGTAGGAAAGACAGTGGAATGAGATGGACATCATTACCCTAAGTACATGTATGAAGACACGAATGGTGTGACTCTATTTTGTATACAGCAAGAGACTTGAAAAATTGTGCTCTATATGTGTAATATGAATTATAATGCATTCTGCTGTCATGCATAACAAATTAGAATTTAAAAAAAGATTAGGGATTTGAAAACAAAAAGATTGGGAATTAAATAAAGATGCTCATTATCACTACAAAAAAAAAAAAAAAGAAAGAAAGTTCTTTCAAGGCCAGCCTCAGAAGCAGTGAGATCCTAAGCAACTTAGTGAGATTCCATCTCAAAAAGAAAGAGACCTGGGGGTGTGGCTCAGTGGTAAAACATCCCTTTGTTAAATCCCCACCACTAAAGGTGGAAAAAAGCAAGCATTCTGAGTTTGCCATGTGGACATGTCCATTCCATCTAGTCATTCCCCACCAGAAGCATTTGATTAATTAGAACCCTTCATTCACCAATGGCATTAATTCTCTGCTCATCTGGAACTCAGTCCTACAAAGCTAACATTTCATATGAAGCAAGGAAGAACTTTTTAGAAGTGAGCTGTTAAACTTGGCTCTTTGGGTTTGTTTCTGGGGAATTCTTTTCTGTAACTATTAATGCTTTTAAAGCTACCATAATCACAGATTTGTACAGAGTATAGTTTTGTTTCCTCTTGGGCAAGAGAAAAATTCAATATTATCTTAACATAATATTTATCAATTGTAGTATATAATTCTGAGTCTACTACAGCCTTTTTTTTTTTTTTTTACACAAATCATAGAGTAGACAGCAAAACCCTAACCTGATGTGGACATCCAATATCACTTAGTTTAAGGAAAGAAGGAAATCAAACTGATCAAACCGAATGAAGACATCCTTTGGTGGGTAATTCAATCCCAACTTTAGCACAAATGACCTCTAAGTGAACTGCAAGATGAGAAACTTACCTTGAATGACTTCATTGGCAGTAAGCCTGAGAGTGAAATCAACCCACAACCTTGAAAGATACACACAATCCTTTTGCAGTGACCTGATTCTCGAAGGGCTTTCACCCCCCCCCCCAACCAACGTTGGCCATCTCTGGCTAAGACCAGAGGAAGCACACAAAAGACAAACCACTTACCTCCAACAACCTGGTAGTCAAAACAAGGGCAATGTAAGCAAGATTTTTTCTTCTTCTATCAAGGTTGGAAAGACTACCTTTATTCTCCCAAGTTCGAGCTAGTATCAGGTGTGATAAAGAGTTCTGAAGCGTTCTGCCTTTTTCTCTTCATTACAAAGTAAATTAAATTTGGATTCCAGATACTTCAGAATCTACACTTACTCACTCACTCAGGGTTTAACACAAACCCTGGGCCATGGGTGCCAAATTGAGTTGCTCAGAATATCAGGAAAAGGTTTACAGTTTAGGATTCACAAAGACACACAAGACAAGAAAGGAGACAAGAAGTGCTACAATGTACTAGAGGAATTCAGGAGAGGGGAAGCTTGGATCAGGGATTCCCACATTAGAATCTCCTGAGATCCTTGTTAAATAAAAAAAAAAAAAAAGGCCATTTCTTAAGTTCTCTCTTTTTGGGATCAAGGGATCAAGCCCAGAGCCTTGCACTATGCCAAGCAGACACTACAATTGAGCCACATCCCTTGTCCCCTCAAAATACCAATTCCTGAGCTTCAACCTCCACCTACTAAATCGAATTCCATGGGTAAAGTCTAAGACATTTAACAAGTCCCTTTGGTGATTGAGGCCTATTACTGTTTTTGTTTTTTTAATTTTTTTAATTTGCTCTTTTTAGTTACACATGATAGCAGAATGTATTTTGACATATCATACATATGTGGAGTATAACCCCATTTTTGTGGTTGTGTATGATGTGGAGTTACACTAGTCATGTATTCATAAACACGCATAGGAAGGTTATGTCTGATTCACTCTACTGTCTTTCCCATTCCCATACCCCATTCCCTTCCCTTCATTCCCCTTTGTCTAATCCAGTGAACGTCTATTCTCCTCCCTGCTGATTATTGTTATTACAGTTTAAAAGAAACTGAATGGTCCAGATAGATTTGGGAGCCAATTTAGATAAACCATCTCATTTTACATATAATGATGAACCTGTTTCTATGTTAAGAGATATACTTCTATTGTACCTTTTAGGATGGCTGCTAAATGTTTTGTTATATGAACACACTTCCATTTATTCTACCAGTTCTTTCTTGTTAGAGGTCCACCAAGAAGTAATTTTATGCAAATTGTGCCATGTTCACTAAAATTAAGTACAGAATCTAACATTAAAAAGATTTCTAAGATTAGGCTTGGAAGGCTGAAGCAGGAGGATTGCAAGTTCAAAGCAGTCTCAGCAATTTAGTGAGGCTCTAAGCAACTAAGTGAGACCCTGTCTCAAAATAAAAAGTAAAAAAGGGCTGGAGATGTGGCTCAGTGGTTAAGTGCCTGGGGTTCAATCCTCAGTACAAACAAACAAATAAATAAAACTATTTATATTGTGAGAAAAATCAATGAAAAATTATGTAACATCAAAATGTGGGCTGGGGCTGTGGATCAGTGGTAGCGTACTTGCCTAGCATGTGTGAGGCACTAGGTTCAATTCTCAGCACCACATATTAAATAAATAAATAAAGGTCTATGAACAATTAAAAAATATTAAAAAAACCGTGTAAAATAGGTTGTTCATTAAAAACATACAGCACCACAGTATATAAAGCCTAAAATAATGGAAGAATCCCTATACGAGATGGAAATAGCACATGTCAGTGATAAGGAGCTTCTTTTTTCTTTTTCATGTTTGCAGTTTTTAAAATTAAAAAAATAAATTCTTTCTTAGTTTTTTTCTTTAATAAGAACAGAACAATTAAAACATCAAAATTTATCATTCATTAAGTCTGGGTATTATGGGCAGGCACTATGCTAAGTAAATGCTGTCTGCTACTGGATGTTCATAACACCTCTGTGTAAGGGGTGAGAGCCACACTTCATAGATGAGTGAAATGGCAAAACCAGGTTCAAAACCAGGCACGACTAAGCCCAAGATTTGTGCACCTCGATACCACCACACAGCCCCAATCTTCCTAGAAGTACTGGATAGGCTGGAACCCTGGTCTCAGGAAGAAATCTCCAGGCAGCTTTTTCAGTGTTGTGTTGCTATGTTTGCACCTGGAAC